TTGATTTCAACAAAAATTGAATATATGGGGTTCTGTAATATGCTGAATCTAACCGTGTATTAAGTTTTTGGATTTTGGGCCCCGTTTTTAAATTGGTCCACATTGAAGTCCAAAGGGTCCAAAATTAAACTTTGTTTGATTTCATCAAAAATTGAATTATTGGGGTTCTTTGATATGCCGAATCTAACCGTGTATTTAGATTCTTAATTTTTGGTTCCGTTTTCAAATTGGTCTACATAAAGGTCCAAAGGGTCCAAAATTAAACTTAGTTTGATTTTAACAAAAATTGAATTTTTAGGGTTCTTTGATATGCTGAATCTAAACATGTATTTAGATTTTTGATTATGGGCCCAGTTTTCAAGTTGGTCCAAATCGGGGTCCAAAATTAAACTTTGTTTGATTTCAACAAAAATTGAATATATGGGGTTCTTTGATATGCTGAATCTAACCATGTATTTAGATTTTTGATTGTTGGGCCCCGTTATCAACTTTGTCCACATTGAGATCAAAAGGGTCCAAAATTAAACTTTGTTTGATTTCATCAAAAATTGAATATATGGGGTTCTTTGATATGCTGAATCTAACCATGTATTTAGATTTTTGATTATGGGCCCAGTTTTCAAGTTGGTCCAAATCGGGGTCCAAAATTAAACTTTGTTTGATTTCAACAAAAATTGAATATATGGGGTTCTTTGATATGCTGAATCTAACCATGTATTTAGATTTTTGATTATGGGCCCAGTTTTCAAGTTGGTCCAAATCGGGGTCCAAAATTAAACTTTGTTTGATTTCAACAAAAATTGAATATATGGGGTTCTGTAATATGCTGAATCTAACCGTGTATTAAGTTTTTGGATTTTGGGCCCCGTTTTTAAATTGGTCCACATTGAAGTCCAAAGGGTCCAAAATTTAACTTTGTTTGATTTCATCAAAAAATGAATTATTGGGGTTCTTTGATATGCCGAATCTAACCGTGTATTTAGATTCTTAATTTTTGGTTCCGTTTTCAAATTGGTCTACATAAAGGTCCAAAGGGTCCAAAATTAAACTTAGTTTGATTTTAACAAAAATTGAATTTTTAGGGTTCTTTGATATGCTGAATCTAAACATGTATTTAGATTTTTGATTATGGGCCCAGTTTTCAAGTTGGTCCAAATCGGGGTCCAAAATTAAACTTTGTTTGATTTCAACAAAAATTGAATATATGGGGTTCTTTGATATGCTGAATCTAACCATGTATTTAGATTTTTGATTTTTGGGCCTTTTATCATTTTTGTCCACATTGAGATCAAAAGGGTCCAAAATTAAACTTTGTTTGATTTAATCAAAAATTAAATTCTTGGGGTTCTTTGATATGCTGAATCTAACCATGTATTTAGATTTTGGATATTGGACCATAATAGGTGAATGTCCAATTTAAAATTTTAAGTTCTAAGACCACATTCATTCTGTGTCAGAAACCTATGCTGTGTCAAATATTTAATCACAATCCAAATTCAGAGCTGTATCAAGCTTGAATGTTGTGTCCATACTTGCCCCAACTGTTCAGGGTTCGACCTCTGCGGTCGTATCAAGCTGCGCCCTGCGGAGCATTTTATTAGTTTCTGAAATTGCTTATCAAATCTGAAACAAAACTTTGAAGCAGTAATGTATGGTTCTTGTGGTAGGGTCCTTTAAAAAAAAAAAATTTTAAAATTGCTCGTCAAATGAATACCCTAGCCATCATAAGCAAGTGTAGATTCGAACTTTTCAAACTTATTAAGTTTTGAGGTTTTTAATATCAGAAACTTAAAGGCAAATCCTTTGATACTTTATAACTATAGTGACTTGCAGCCTGTCTGAAATGATTTCATGTCGATTAGATGGCATACAAAAATCAACATAACAGTTCCCTTTAGGATCAGATTAAAGTCAGAATAGATATGCCACATAAGCAATAAAACCTTTACTATGATGTAAAACAAGATCGCAACTAGTCAGAATCCTTGTTTTTTCTTTGTCTTGATGACTTGAATTCTGTATAAATTTAAACATTTACTGTTTAGGAGTTAATTGGATTAAAAGCATATTGTTCCTATGGGTTTTTGTTGGGTTTTTTTTGTGTTGGTTATTTCATATTGTTTAAAAGTTGTCTGATCATATTTGATTGATAAAAAATTGCCAGTCATTGATATTCTATATAAAGGTTGAGTTATCTTCTCTTTATCAAGACACCCTTCAGTGTTATCTCCCTTTATCAACACTCCCCAAGGTGTTCAGAGAATACATGTTGTTGAATCACACCTGTAAATATTGTTTTACCTGTAATCAAGTACTAGATAACACAAACGAACTCTTTCATCTTCCCATGGTATGTCATTAAGGAGATAAAAGTATTCTCTACCTGGCCAGGTACACTAACCCCATAGGTAAACCACTAACTTGATAGAGACAGAAACAGTACATAGAAAGTGTTTATTATGGTCAGTTTGAGGCAATACACTTTGAACTGAGGTCAGAAAATCTATTTGTTTTGTAGTAATGTGGTTTGTTTATATATTAAACCCATTAAAAAGAATAATGTTTAGCATAAACTATTGGTATCACACTGACAGTTCACGGATATTGTTAAAGAATTTTAACGTCAGACAAAATGTTACATTCCTTGTGCAAAGTACATTGTAACTGCTAACTTACTTGTTATAGACCTGTAACTTTTTTCTCTCTCTCACAACTCTTTGAGGGGTCCATAGGTGGCCTGTTACAAGGCTAAATTTCTGTCCCTATCCAATATACCCTCATTTCCCGTGGCAGTCTAAATTCTTGGACCTTAATACCTTAATCTATTACAGAACATAACCTATTGTATTTATTGTTAATTTGTTCTCGTCCTGAATATGCATGAAATATTTGCCACTGGACATTAAGCAACCAACAATCAATCAATTTTTCTCTCTCTCATATTTCAATTCTTTAAAGTATGCGACATTATTGCTAATGTGTGCTGAGATGGTCACTAATTTATAAATCAATCATACCACATATTACAGCCATCCCTTTATATACAAAGGAAATGTGGTATTATAGTTCAGGTGACCTCTGTGATTAGGTAAAACTTCATAGATGTCATGTTTTTCATAATGAAAAAAGAAATCTATATATATATTTATTTCAAATATGAGCAAGCCCTTGGTAGTAGCTTGTAAAATAGGGTTCATTATGCTCTCTTTCAAATATTCATTTTCTATGCATTTTTACGATAAACTGTTAACACAGAGATATGTCTCACCTATTTGTTATTTTGATAAATCAAATGTTGAAATTTAAATAGCAATACTTTAACATGTAAGTTATGCAAATATTCAAAGTCAATAAACCATGACTGAAGGTACAGGGCTAAATAATCTCCATGGAAATGAGATGTGCCAATGCTAATTCAACTGCAAACCAAATACCATTGACTTTTCATAAGTAGTTCCCTTAAAACAAACCTAAACACAAACATTAACTTGTAAACTATGTAAAAGTTTCAGAGTCAATGAACCATAATTAGGGGGTGGGGTTATATAATCTCCATGGAAATGAAACTTGCAAAGAATATTATTGACTTAACATTAGTGGTTCATCTTAAACTGACATAATCACAAACTAATACATGTAAACTAAGCAAAAGTTTCAAAGTCAATAGACCATGACTGAGGGGTAAGGACAGAATATTCTCCATGGAAATAAGATGTGCTAATGCTTATACAACTGCATACCAATTAGCATTGACCTACCACTAATGGTTCCCCTTAAGCTGACCTAATCACAAAATAATACATGAAAACTAAGCAAAAGTTACAAAGTCAATAGGCCATGAGTGAGGGGGCGGGGCCAAATAATCTCCATGGAAATGAGATATGCCAATGCTTATACAACTGCATACCAAATATCATTGACCTACCACTAGTGGTTCCCCATAAACTGACCTAATCACAAACTAATACATGTAAAATAAGCAAAGTTTCAATGTCAATAGACCTTGACTGAGGGGGCAGGGCCAAATAATCTCCATGGTAATGAGATGTGCCAATGCTAATACAACTGCATACCAAATATCATTGATCTACCACTAGTGGTTCACCATGAACTAGACCTAATCACAAACTAATACATTGTTGACGCCTCCGCTGGAAACAGCATACCTGTCTCGCTTTTTGACTCCATCAAAGCAAGACAAAAACAGTAAAATTTCATGACAAAGCAATTCTGTTGTCTTAATTTTGATGAATTAGGACTGCAAGATTTTTCATATACATTCATTTGTATGAACAACACTGGGAATTATATTTTGAAATTTATTGGTATTTATAAATGTGTAAAAAATTGTGAAAAATAGTTACAAGTCTAATTTAGTGGTTGTCTGTTTATCATACTTGTTTTTCGTTTATTGTTTTGTACAAGTCATGTTCATTTGAATTATTTAACATTTTGTCATGTTTATAGCTTACTATAAGGATTTTGGCCTTTGTTGAAGGCCGTACAGTGACCTATTGGTGGTTACATCTTCATCACTTGGTCTCTGTTGGATAGTTGTTTAATTGGCAATCATACTGCATCTTTTTATATTACTGTCAAGTGTTGTAACCATATACAAATTCACTTTCGTTAATGACATTTCTAGTATTCCTATGAAAATATAGGTGTTAATTCTGACCAATCAATAGTCAGTGTTGTTAATCTAACAAAATCAATGGTAATCCAGTTTGCCAGAGGACATAACTACATTTATGAGGAGTATGTGAGATGACATTTGATTTTCCTCAATTCAAATGGATTTAACTCCTGCACTTATCCCATGGAAATTAAATTCAACCTGTATTTTACAGTAATAAATATCAAACCCTAACAAGAAGGACACTGGTCGAACTATCAAATTCAATAATATCTTTACCAGAATTGTAAAACAGAGATATCTACTGACTAAATTTTCCATCAAAACCTTTATGACTGGCAGGGAAAGAAAACCAAAACATATATATTCAAAAGAAATACTTTCTTAAAATAATGCATATAAAACGGTCTTAATTTACAAAACAAAACATTTCAACAACTTTAAAAGCACTATTCCTTCAGTTTGTATGAACAAATTTGGTACTATACATGTCAAAATAAAAAGGTTTACTAATAACTGATACCAAATTTGGTACCTACTTTATTCATCTCCGGGCATCATACTAACTGAGTAATTACACAATAAAAATGCATATTTTTAAATTGTAGTTTATTATGTTGAACACTGGTTTCATAGACCATATGTAACATGAAAAGATACAGCAGTTTTGTCTGGGTCATCTCAAAAGTTTAAATCATTTGAAAATGAGTGTATTAAAAAGTCAATAATGCATTCATGAAAAGAAATTATATAAAACATTTTAGAGAAAAAGTTCAAAAAAGTCAAAGAGTTCTGAGATTAATTGGAAAGTAAAATTACATTTTGAGATGATCCCTGATGAAATTATACCCTGAATTGTCATGGCGAATTCAATGACAGATTTAATCCTAATACAAATATAATCATTCCATGATTCAGTTTTAATATAATAGTATCATGACTCAAAAACAGACAAATAAAATAATTCAAGAAGTTGTTTAAGATTTTTTCAACAAAACCAATACATAAGATGTGAGAGGTATGAAGTCCTGTCTATGCTTTTAAGGTCGTAGTTATTTAAAAAAAAGGTTGTGATGAATTTTTTCACCAGAGTTAAATTATTCATGAAATTTGTTCTTTTACATATGGTAAAATTTGTTTTGAAGTATTCAGAATCAGTGATGACACAGTTTCAATATTATTATGAAGTTAACAAGAAAGAAAACACAGGCACAGTTCAAATTCTACAGGTACACTTCCAGGTCAATCTATAAACTGAGAGGTTACACTTCCAGTAGCATGTCAATCTATAAACTGAGAGGTTACACTTCCAGTAGCATGTCAATCTATAAACTGAGAGGTTACATTTTCAGTAGCACGTCAATCTATATACTGAGTATTGATTTAGTCTTCAATGAAGGGCTAATAGATGAACAATAACTTAATCATGATACGTTTAAAAGAAGGAATTTCTACGGCCAAACTTCTGTTTGAAACAGCAGCATTCCTTTCTTGCGGAATCATATTAAGAAAAAAGAATAATCCATAGACATACATGGATTTTATAAGGCTTTCTGATATTTGTTTATTTCATGTTTGAAGTGTTTCGTTCCTTAATATTGAAAAAAAATTATAAAAAAATTAAGTAAAAATAGAAATTTCATTACATTTATAACTTTAAAATCAACGGGTTCAAATAAAACTTTACTAAAATGAATAAAATTTGCTAGTTTCATATAACCTCATATCACCTAACAGCATAAAAAAATTTCATGAAAATCCAATTGGGGAGATTATATTCTACACAGAAACTACACATATTCATCTTGATGAAGATATAACATCAAAATTTTAAAGCTTTTTTTACTAGAAATCTTATTTTGACTTTGTCTTTACTTGGTTATGGTAAACACAGCATCCAATCTAACAACCCTTATATTTGAGGAGTTCTAAAATCCTCACGAAACAAAGAGTGTTGCTAAATAGGTCTACTTTTCACTACAATCAAAATCTGAAACAATTTAACCTTCCAAAAGACGAAACTACATTTGAAACGAAGGTTAAAATGTTCCATTACAGAGTTAGGTTTCTCTATATTGATGTTTCTCTATATTGCATTTTATTTTTATCACAATTTCCAGAAACAAGTGAATCAATTTAGTTTGTGAAATAAAAATCAAACCCTACATTGTATGAAAATGTAACTTCTTAATAGATTAATTAGAAAGAAAACACTTTACACAAATAAAAATAGCACCAGTAAAATGTGTAGGCCAGGGTTAACAAAAAAACAATTATTTCCCTTGAATTCAAAATTAAAACCGTTCTTTGTACAGAAATAAAACTGGTTATTTCATTGGTTAAATCTATTCCCTTACACACGTGTTGTATAAAATGAATAACATGATAGTTGGACTAGGTTTTACAAGTTCAAACAACTCAAAAACAATCAATGCCATCCGATAAACACAACCAGAATGGATTATCCTATATGTATGTAAGCACAATTACTTTTCTGTCTATATTTTCACAAAAAGAATTATTTCTTAAGGAATTCTATTTTCAAGCATTACTTCTCTAATATTTGACTTAAATCAACAAACTTGGTAAATTTCCATGATATTTCCATTCAGGTTCCAAAATTTAACTCTTATAGGCAGTAAAATTAAATATCATAGTTTTTCAGTTCAGATAATTTCCTAGAACAGAAGTATTTCATTAAAGTAACTTGCTTACAAACATACAAACAACCATGATTTACATAAAACTAAAAATTCATAACTTAAAACACAGTAAAAGTCTATGCATAATTTAAAATAACAAAATAATGACAGCAATTCCATGAGGATGGTTAAAGTTCTGTGCTTTTAATATACATGATATTTTACTGAGGGCTGTCACAAAATGTACCTCAGAATGGCAGAATGTCATTGAAGAGGAGAGCTCAACTATTGTTATTGTAGAGCTCTTCTAGTTCAGATTTGAAAATAAGAGAATGTGTGCATAAAAATATTTCTACTGAATAGCCGTATTTTGGATATTTTTTAAATAACATGACATCTGATAGTCAATTAGTCAATTTATAAACAATAAAAATTGAATGACAACATCTACAATTTCAACTGTGTTATCCTCCAACACAAAACATTCTACCCTCTGGATACAATTTTTATGAAGCCCTGATATGTAACCCGTAAACTGAATCCATAAATAACCCACCATGGTTGATAATGGCCCCACCTGGTGGTTAAACCCTGAGTCACAGCTCTTTACAGTCTTTATACAAATATACACAACTATGTACACATTATACAATAAATTACGTATTATTATTAATCATTCTTAGTCACTTTTGCAATAATTCGACCATCCCATAATGGTAAAATTTCAGAGTCATTTTTAATTTCCTCATACACTGCTCCCTCCTCACCAAATTCATTGCTTTTCTTCTTGAAGAAATATCTGTAAATAGAAAAATTCAAAACTTAAGTACTGCTTAAAATATAAAAATAATCATTACTTTATCAAATGTTTTTTAGAATTAGCTTTGAAAGGACAATTTTATGAATTGTGCACATCCAATCTGATTTTTTTCCCCATAACAGGTCGATTAAGATGAAAAGGATAATGACTTATAGTTTACCCTACCTCCTCCTCATCTTACCTATCAATCTGATAAAAATAAATTTCCAAGTTTCTTTCTGTATCTTTTAAATTCTGAAGTTATTTTTTCATGATGGAAACCTGAGTGTTTGTGTTTCTTATCTAATGGACAGATAAATGATTTGATGTTCTGTGAAATTTATGAGTCATGGCAAATTCATTTAATTTTTTCAATCTACAATATACCTCATCAGATATTTTGTATAAGAAAAGAAAACTTATTTTTGTTTTGTGATATGTTTTTGACATTGCACAAGTAATTTCAATGGATTGAGCAAATAAGTAAGCGATGTCAAGAATATTCAATAAACTAATACAATCTTCAGCTGAATGTCTGCACTGTACCCAAATCTTTTTTTAATTTATAATCTAATTTACAGTCTCCTATTGGTCCAATATGTTGCTTGAACTGAGCTCGTCACATGATCTGGGCCCTCGGTCATAAAACTTTACTCAGTACTCTTGTACAACAAGAGTGCACACGCTGAAATGTCTCGCCTTCTTTACTAATCATTGATATTATGTTGATAGTCCTAAATATAAAGCTTTATTACAACTATCACATAAACTTAACATTAACCAAGTAAACTAAACATTGACCAATGAACCATGAAAATGAGGTCAAGGTCAGATGAACCATGCTAGGCAGGCATGTACAGCTAACAATTCTTCCATACAACAAATATAGTTGACCTATTGCTTTTAGTTTAAGAAAAACAGACCAAAACACAAAAACTTAACACTGAGCAATGAACCTTGAAAATGAGGTCAAGGTCAAATAAAACCTGCGTGACTGACATATAGATCATAAAATATTTCCATACACCAAATATAGTTGAACTATTGCATATAGTATTAGAAAAAAAGACCAAAACTCAAAAACTTAACTTTGACCACTGAACCATGAAAATGAGGTCAAGGTAAGATGACACCTGCCAGCTAGACATGTACACCTTACAATCATTCCATACACCAAATATAGCTGACCTATTGCATGCAGTATTAGAAAGAAAGACCAAAACTCAAAAACTTAACTTTGACCACTGAACCATGAAAATGAGGTCAAGGTCAGATGACACCTGCCAGCTAGACATGTACAACTTACAATCATTCCATACAACAAATATAGTAGACCTATTGCATACAGTATAAGAAAAACAGACCAAAACACAAAAACTTAACTATAACCACTGAACCATGAAAATGTGGTCAAGGTCAGATGACACCTGCCAGTTGGACATGTACACCTTACAGTCCTTCCATACACCGAATATACTAGACCTATTGCTTATAGTATCTGAGATATGGACTTGACCACCAAAACTTAACCTTGTTCACTGATCCATGAAATGAGGTCGAGGTCAAGTGAAAACTGTCTGACGGGCATGAGGACCTTGCAAGGTACGCACATACCAAATATAGTTATCCTATTACTTATAATAAGAGAGAATTAAACATTACAAAAAATCTGAACTTTTTTTTCAAGTAGTCACTGAACCATGAAAATGAGGTCAAGGACATTGGACATGTGACTGACGGAAACTTCGTAACATGAGGCATCCATATACAAAGTATGAAGCATCCAGGTCTTCCATCTTCTAAAATATAAAGCTTTTAAGAAGTTAGCTAACGCCACCGCCGCCGCCGGATCGCTATCCCTATGTCGAGCTTTCTGCGACAAAAGTCGCAGGCTCGACAAAAATTGTGCTCGAAACACCAAATCCAGTATTTCGATTGGTTGATTTCTGAGTCTGAGTAGGAAAATCATGCTCGAAATTTTTATGACCGCAAGGCCTTATGTACCTATAGTTCCCCATTCACCAGAAGTTTGAATTGAGTTATATAACTTACCTATAGTTTCCTGTTCTTCCAATAAGATGTTTGAACTGAGCTAGAGTTACATTATGACCAGGTACTGTAATTTTGTATGGTATTGGCTCCTGGCAGAAATAATATCCTATCACGATTTCTTCACCAGTAGAGCCTGAGGTATTAGCACTGCTGTTTGGTGACTTCTTCTTTTTACTGTAATAAAAACACACATTATATATATTAACCTAAAAATAAATTAAATAACATGTGAATAATATACAAGAAGTACATTACCATAATTATGTTACAAAGGGAGATAATAGCCAACTTTTAATCCTAACAATCAGATTTGTCTCCCCTCCGTGACTAACTGAATGTTTACAATAGATCTGCAATGTGTGTGTATAGGTAGACAATTTCATCGAATTTTGATTATCTTAATTTAGTTGAAGATGTCTTTAAGGTTCTCTTCCATCGATAAATTAAATAAGGAGCTATAAAAGTGTAAAGGTATTTCTTACATATTTTTTATATTATTCACCATTATTTTACAGATGGCAAACTATCTTTTTACAACTTTTCAACAAGCAAAATGCAGTAAAAATAATATAACTATAGGTTGTCAAGTTTATCATGTTGCTTAATCCCATAACTTTTATTTCTTATTAGCCATTAATTACACTTCACACTGCCCAATATCATATCTATTACAACTTTTTTCCTGTTACTATTATAGGATGTGTTCAATCTTTATAATTCTCAACTCACACATTTGTTACTTTTTAATTTAAATTACACCTTTTAAATGCTCATCTTGGATTGTTTCTATTTAACAACAATCCTGAGACAATACTTACTCTACAGCAATAGTATCAAATGACATGTCTAAATCACACGGAACAGTTCTGGTTGTAGGTAGAGGTTTCATGTTACCCTGGGATGTTGTATTTGGTTTCTTCTCTTTAGCAGCTGGAATACCACCGAAAGACCTACAATTATACAATTCACACTGATTACTGGGAATACCACCGAAAGACCTACAATTATACAATTCACACTGATTACTGGGAATACCACCGAAAGACCTACAATTAGACAATTCACACTGATTACTGGGAATACCACCAAAAGACCTACAATTATACAATTCACACTGATTACTGGGAATACCACCGAAAGACCTACAATTATACAATTCACATTGATTACTGGGAATACCACCGAAAGACCTACAATTATACAATTCACACTGATTACTGGGAATTCCAATGATTATGGTCTCAAATATTTGCAGTGCAGGCAAAGTTACACAAACATACAGGAATTTCACATTTATTTTACGCTTAGTCTAATAGTTCAATTTATTATTGGGTGTACAAAGTTGGATGCAGATAGAACACGTTATTCTAGAAGAAATTTTAGGGGAATAAAATATATCAAAAACAATTATTTCACTGCATCAATTTCAACACTTTGCCTCTGTTGTTGATATTTTTAAAGATTTCAAAAATTTGTATATATCTGAATGGTAACATCAATATCTATCTAGCTGCAGTGTTTGGCGGAAACTCCACTATCTTTCGCGTTAACTATTATTTCTATGTAACTAAGCCATAATTTGTCCTGATCTAACTTTGGATTTGCAGGCTACTTCATGGTGAATGACTGTGAGGGAGTTTATGTGATGATGTCTCATAAGTAACCCCCTCTCATCATTTTCAATGTACTTATCCTATTAAAGAACCAAACCAATCACCTTTCTAATCTGAACAAATTGATCAGTTTCAAATGAGATATTTATCCTTAAGTGCCATTTTTTACCTTTACCCTCGTGTTTATCCCTCTTATGTTTTAATTTAAAATCTCAAGCCCTTAAAGAGATAACATACTTAGATTTAACTGGGGGAACGGTGCGAGATTCTTCTAACCGACGCTTGGCTTCCTCCAGCTGTACAGTTATACTTGTAGGTTGGAGGATGGGCATGGATGGATCCTGCATAAAAGGTTGTGACGGCATAGCTCCTGATGGAGGTGGTGCACTCATCATCATAGCGCTACGATCCACTGAAGCAGAACGGCTTGCTCCATGACCTGATTTCTTTGATCTGAAAAGGATTAATTCAAAATCTTTGTAGAATTTTTCTTAATCAGTCCAGCCAATATCTGCTGACAAAGCATTGTACCAATAATCAATCAATCAATCAATCACAAATCATGTGGATTCATATATTTCAGTATATAACAGTTTTCCTGGATCAATGGAGAATTATATTCTTGTGAATACTTTTTATTTCATGGTTTTGACCATTTTTTTATTCAAAGCTATAAGAAACTCTTATTTTGGTGAACACATATTTATGGTTCATTTATACCAACAAAATCCATTAAAAAAATATACCATATCAACAATACTGAATCACTGTACAAATCATCTGAATTTCAAAGTTTTCAAACCATGTCAAAAGCTGATACTTCATTCAATAGGTCAGTATATAGAACTTTTATTCCTTTTTCAATATCTATTTTAAATCATTTTTAACTTCACCTAATCACACTTAAAGCCAATATCTTTTGAATAAAAAATACATTATCAAAAATCTGCAATAAAACATAATTTTAGATCTGCAAAGATATTTTTGGTTTTTTATTAAGTGTATGAACTTTTATAACAATTAATTAATGTTATTCATTTAATGGTTTGTACAAGGTTACAAATGTATTTATTTAACAGTTTGTACAAATAATCTCCAAATGACATTGGTTTTTTTTTCTAATACAACTTTTTTTTTTTTAATTTAATTTAAATAATAATGTCATTAGATCTATTAGCATTCTGAATTAAGTTTGAAGTTATATGAAGACTGAACTTGTTACTGGACAAATTGTTCATCCCTATCTATTGTTACATGCCAACTTACATTTGTTTTCTGGGAGCAGGCGTGGAAGAAGCAGTAGATCGAACACGTTTCTGAGATGAGGCTTTATCAGAATCTGCAGTATTAGTACCACCCATACGATCACTGTCCATCATCCAATTAAGGACCCTGGATAAAACATAGATAATATTCTTAACTCTGGTCATTTATAGACTAATCATACACATATATGAATGTGTTATTAAGAAAAACAGTTTCTCATTTGGTACAAAAATCTTACTTGTTCCAAACAGCAATGAACCTGACTCTATAATGCATAAAATGACTCTCAGTCAATCATAAATAAAGGCATCACATAAACTGATAAGAGTTTAAGTAATAGTTATACTTTTCAGGAGGTTTATCTATATTCAAAAGGATTTTATGGAATGGATTGTATTTAGTATAACAGCAAATAAAAATAGGCAATCAAACTAAGCAGCTGGAACAACAAAAATTAGGTCAAATCAATATTTCAAATTTAAGGAAGAAATATGTGTACCTCCACAAATATCCCCTCTTGTAAAGGACCTGGTTTACAACATGCACTTAGTGCATTGCCGTTACCTTGCCTTCGGTACATAATAACAGCTTGAAATAATCACAAATTATTCACTTTAATCTTTTAACATACTTATAAAAAAAAACTTCAAACAATTGCATGACTCAACACACCTTCTAATTTAATGCCACGATTAAAGGGAAATAACTCCTTTGAGATCTAAAGAGAACAACCATACATGCAAAAACAATTTACATGTGGTACAAAATGTTTGTTTTTTTCTCTAAAGAACAGATCATGCTTTGAAATAACTTTTTGAGATGTAATTACATAGAATTTATTATATAACAAAGATACAGAATACAATGGTCAACTGTGTCTCTCTGTTTTAATTTTAATTATATCTGGCAGATAGAAGGGTGGAGTATTTGTTCTAAGGATGTACAGATGCACCGAGTGATAGATAAAATATCAGCTATCATACTAGATCAGCTGATGGAAAAGTGTCTACAAGGTGGCATGTCAGGATATTCAAAACTTTCTTTCAAAAGGCAGGTCTCTTTTACATCTCAACTACAAAAAGCAATACCAGGGATTTTTTTTAAGCTAAATTGCTTAATAGCATTTCTTTAAATATTTTGATTCAATTAAATACACAAAAAAAATTATTTAAGCTTTTCACTTTTCTCAAATGAAACTTTCCATTTTTTTATATTATAATTAAACCTTCTTTTAAAAATTGACAGAAATTTTCATGCTGTTGAAAATTTGCAATCAACACTAAGTCCTTTCATGTCTTTGATATCCACCTTCCTCCTTTATTACCATATAATACAAATTAGAAGCTTGTCTGATCAACAATTCTCTTTAATTAATAAATAATGGTCGCTGAGGGATATTCATATTGTTAACAAATATATAAAATATTCTCTTTGATGACACACTGGATTACAGGTTTAATATTTAATGTTTTTTTTTCCATTCCTCTCTGTTGGTCAAAAGATTATAATTACACATCAAAAGCTTTTTATTCATTAACTTTTAACAGTCAGTTTAAACTGCTATTCTTTGTAGTATTGATTTTTTGGATGCTTAGAAGATCAAAGAGTCAAGACATGTGTGCACCTCTAATTAGAAATATTGTTATTTTGATAAAGTTGAGCCAATAAAAACTTGTCAGCTGTGCCCATGTCAGTATATATCATGACCAAGGTGTTACACTTTCATTAGACTTGTTTGAAGCCCTACCATGGGATTTCATGTAAAGCTGGTTCTTCCCTCTTTGATGTTAGTTTAAATTTCATTCTGGACCACTGTGAAAGCAAATAATAACTAATCGGAGATTTTCTTCCATAACATCTGTCCCTTGACTTTTGTAAAACTTATTTTCTATGAGATCTTTGTGAAATATAATATGACTAATGGCCCTGTATTCTGGATCAATGTTTCCCTTGTTTTATCTCTCAACTTCAAAGGGACATTTAAAACCTTAAAGGCATCTAATTTTCTTACTGCAGATTTTTTATTCTTTTTGTTATAAAATAAACCACATTGGGAGCTCACATGTTTGTGAGCAGACTTAATTATCATGAAGCAAATCTCTTAACCATTGGAATTTTTTCACAAAGAAAAATATTTTTAAAAGAACAGACAACTATAAAAAAAAATGTGTAACCTTTAACTATGTAAATAAATCCTTCAAAGTTTTACACGTTTTTGTACCTTTGACTTTTTCATTGGTGAATTATTTTTATTGTTACAAGTTTTAAAATGCTTTCATTTTGTAAACATTGTTTAGAAGATTTCTTTGATTTTAATCAGCCATTGATGTTAAAGTACCTTCTTCTCAGTCTTATCAAGATACATGGCTTTCAAAAGCTGTACATGTATTTTTTTCCAATAAATAACAGTACATACTTTCTTGTAATCAATATTCTCTAACTTATCAAATTTATTCAAGTTTAAGATCAAAGCCGATTTTAGTCATTTGTAAATTTACACATTATATAATTTGATTACTTCTCCTGTCCTGATACAATTATGCATAGTAATATAACATTGGTGATTGATTTCTCTATTTGATCACGCGACAAAACACCTTTCAGATCACTGATCAAAATGTTAATTCAAAAGAGTATAATAGCTAAAAACAAAACACCCCACAGAGTAGCAGCATTAAAAATTAAAAATCCTTTTTGAATAAACACATCCATTTTATAGAATTCAATAGGAATATTAAAGTACCAGGTTTAGTTTAATACAAGGTTAGACTTCCCTTTCATCCAAAACTTCTATAAATATGCATGATGCACCTATTGATTAACGAAAAAACTTCACTTAGATTTTTTTCCAAGATCAAAGAGCTCTGTCAACTTTGATGGAAATAAAAGAGAGCTTCACAAAGAGCTGTTAAAATGAGGCAACAGATGTATGGACTAGCCAAAATAAACATCAAACTGCAATGCTTTTTTTCATTTTTTGATACATGGCAATTTTTTGAAATTCAATATCTAACATTTACAGTTCAGAGATAAAAGAACTCTGTCAATTTATTCAGTTTTTCCACATCAGTGAATAATATTACAGCCATACAAACTAAGGGTTAAGAATTCACCTAAACCTCTTGTACAAATAGTTTAAATCTAATACAAAAGTTTTAAATAAATATAGTTTTAAGCTATGTGCCCTATGTTCAAAATATAACATACTTTTCTTACTGTACAGATAAAGGTAATATTAAATTGTGTAGAAAAATAATTTTCAAATAAAGGAAAAATTTCAACTTTTCTCTATTTTACAAGATATCAACTACTGTCAAAGACCTTGTTAACCAGTCTTAAACAAAATCTGTTTAAACATATAAAAAAACCTTCTTTAAGACAAAGGATGACAATAAAAACAAAATCTGTAGTCAAATATCTCTAAATTAATCATAGACAAAAAGTCTTTCACCGGATGACATATTTAACATGTTTAATAATTTCATCTCTCCAACAGTGTTTGATCTCACTTCATGCACTTAACACTTTATAGCTGTTGAGAATATCACTTTGATAATGGCACCTAGTATTAAATTCTGACCTTATTTCTGTTATCCACTGTTTAATCATAACATGTAGCTCAATTCAAAATGTGCCCTAATTTTTTGTGCAATATGAGTTTTCATGAACTAAATCTCAGTTTAACCATGAAAGAACAGAAGTCCAGATTGAAATAGATAACACCATCTTCTAATTTTAGCTCAAGTTCAGTAGGTACTAACAATAGTTCAAACTTTATATAATTAAAATTTGAAGCTTCAAAACCTTAAACATTATAACAACACTTACTTTTCTGATGAAGGATCTTTCATGTTTGGCATGGAAGGTATTGAATCGATCATACTAACACCACTATCAAATTTACTTTCAGTGTCAGAATGTTTACGACTGCCTCGTCCTTTATCATTACCGAAATAAATCTTTTGAGCGTCACTTTCTATTTTACACCGAGACTCTTTTGTATGATGATGATGGTGGTGGTGATGTATATGACGATGAGTTTCAATAGCTTTTTCATCTCCCATTCCACTATCGAAAGATGAATGATAATCGGGCCGTTTTTTATGATGAAGTGTCCGTGAAGCTGACGGCAAGGATTGCATCTTTTTATTTCTATCAGGGGACTTTGGTTTTGTGTTTGGAGGACTATGTCTCCCAGGCGACAGACTGGGCGTTTGTTGTGCCGAACTTTCCCATATCCGAGAACAATGTTCCTCTAATATAGAATCAGCATTCGCCTCGTCTATCACAGTAGAAGTCATTAAAGGTAGCACTGAACCGGAGGTAGTGTTATTGTTTTGTGAAAATGACGATGTCATTGACCTGTTTCCAGGATTGTCTATATCACTCTAAAATACAAAAAAATTACATGTACAATTCTATTAAAATTTGAAGTCAGTTCAAATTTACTTTTTTTTGTAAAAAACAACAACAAAAAACAGAAGTGAACTTTATATATATTGCATACACTAAAGTATTTCTTTGTCTATCAGTTAGGACATCTGAACTGTACCTAAAGGCAGTGGTGTTTACCAACATGTACTTGTACAAATTAAAGCAGCTACAATACATACTGGGGTAAAAAAAAAATTAAAAGGATGAGCAAGTGAAATAAATGTCTGATCCATAACAAAAACATCTATGAAGGTAGAACACGTTTGTTTTTGATGTCCCAAAAATATGTGTTGAAATTAATCCATAATTAAATATTGATTTTTCACCTTTTTGTATTTCTTGAGCAAACAATATAGCCTTAAGGGCTCCACGTTTTCAAAAAGTCTCTTGTTCTCCATCTTTTAATGAGAATTTGACCAAACCCCTCTACAAATGACAATTTCTTTTTTGTATGAGATATCATTTCTCAATATAATTTGCCAATTGAATGTTGAGTACTGACACAGCCGTTTAGTATTACAGCAGTAAGCCAACATCAAACGCAGTATTGATCGTTTGGATATTAGTAACATTTGTCAACCTTCTAATTCAAACAATTTGTAAACAGCTAAATATCATTAAATGGTGAAAAATTGCAGATTTTGCACGTCAATTCAACAATATTGTATTACTTAAATGCAAATTTAACAATCAAATATTATCAATGCAAATTAATGTGAATTAATTCACCCAATAAAACATTAAGGAAAAATTATAACATTAAATAACAATGCAGTTAACATGCACTATTACATAGCAGATTAAAAGTACGTTTATTCCCTGTAGAATCCATCACAGTTATCCAACCCCTAAAGATAGCAATACATGTACATGTAATTAGTACCAGCAGGTGCCCTTTGATGTTTTCCATGCAATCTCCAATAACAAGTCACACTATTCCCATCAGTCTTTGATGTTTAAATAATTTGATTAAGGCTAAATAAGGCATTCTACAAAAAGCTGTTAAAACCTTTACAAGTTATACATGCAGCAAGAGTTTATGAGATTTGTTTTTATATAATAACTTAACCCTGGTTTTGAAATACGTAGGCCATATATAGTCCCTGTAATAGTTCCTGTGTGGTATCTCAATAACATTTAACTGTGTTTATACAACATGGTGACACACACCCACATGAAGCCTGATCTAAATAAGTACCTCATCTAAAACTCTGCTCATGTTAGCTCTTATCCTTTCATCGTTTTCCTGTTTTTGTTCAACCTTCTTTAACCTGTCTATCAATACTTCTGCGAAAGCTTTCGGATCAGTTTCTGCTATGTTTCGATCTTTAGGCGGGCGATTTGTTCTCTGATAAAAAAAAGTAAAGAGGTAACAGAATATAATTTGACTAAAAACACAATGATTCAGCAAGACTTCAGACTTTCTTAATAAACATGGAAGTGGTACAGAAGTAACACAATGATTCAGCAAGACTTCAGGCTTTCTTATTAACATGGAACTGGTACAGAAGTAACACAATCATTCAGCAAGACATCAGGCTTTCTTAATAAACATGGAAGTGGTACAGAAGTAACACAATGATTCAGCAAGACTTCAGGCTTTCTTAATAAACATGGAAGTGGTACAGAAGTAACACAATGATTCAGCAAGACATCAGGCTTTCTTAATAAACATGGAAGTGGTACAGAAGTAACACAATGATTCAGCAAGACTTCAGGCTTTCTTAATAAACATGGAAGTGGTACAGAAGTAACACAATGATTCAGCAAGACTTCAGGCTTTCTTAATAAACATGGAAGTGGTACAGAGGTAACACAATGATTCAGCAAGACTTCAGGCTTTCTTAATAAACATGGAAGTGGTACAGAAGTAACACAATGATTCAGCAAGACTTCAGGCTTTCTTAATAAACATGGAAGTGGTACAGAAGTAACACAATGATTCAGCAAGACTTCAGGCTTTCTTAATAAACATGGAAGTGGTACAGAAGTAACACAATGATTCAGCAAGACTTCAGGCTTTCTTAATAAACATGGAAGTGGTACAGAAGTAACACAGAGATCCAGCAAGACTTCAGGCTTTCTTAATAAACATGGAAGTGGTACAGAAGTAACACAGAGATCCAGCAAGAAGACTTCAGGCTTTCTTAATAAACATGGAAGTGGTACAGAAGTAACACAATGATTCAGCAAGACTTCAGGCTTTCTTAATAAACATGGAAGTGGTACAGAAGTAACACAACGATTCAGCAAGACTTCAGGCTTTCTTAATAAACATGGAAGTGGTACAGAAGTAACACAACGATTCAGCAAGACTTCAGGCTTTCTTAATAAACATGGAAGTGGTACAGAAGTAACACAATAATTCAGCAAGACTTCAGGCTTTCTTAATAAACATGGAAGTGGTACAGAAGTAACACAACGATTCAGCAAGACTTCAGGCTTTCTTAATAAACATGGAAGTGGTACAGAAGTAATACAGTGATTCAGCCAGACTTCAGGCTTTCTTAATCAACATTGAAGTGGTACAGAAGTAACACAATGATTCAGCAAGACTTCAGGCTTTCTTAATCAACATTGAAGTGGTACAGAAGTAACACAATGATTCAGCAAGACTTCAGGCTTTCATAATAAACATTGAAGTGGTACAGAAGTAAGCAGTTTTATCATTTTGACAAAGTATACGGGTATTTCTTTAAAAAATCAAAAATAAAAAACAAGAAAAATAGGGGTAGACAGGAATTCAAGAGTCTTACATTTTAATATAAATTTGAGCACGACCAACAATGCGGTCACCTTCTGTGAACCATCAGAAAAGTATATATAGAACAAAACAAAAGGTTTTAATCTACTTCACAGAAGTGCTCTGCATCAATTTGATGTTGGGAAATTATTTGAAGTACTGTTGAAGATACACTTATCAAACTTGAAACACAAAGCAAAAAGAAAGGATGTCTCCTGTTAAATTGTTCTTTTCATCTATACAAGTGTACTTCCCTCTATTTATATAGGTGCTTATTGTGGTCTGATATCGGAAACATCCGACAATTATTACATCTAACAGTACATTACTTGTAATTGTGTGTCAAATGAGAAATCGTGTATTTCTTCTTGAGGAAATGTTAAAAACACACCTACATTCCATGCCACATCCTTTGATGGAAAATATAAAATGATTTTTTATAACCTATAAGAAAACATTTAATTTCTATTCAACCCCTTGGTTTGACATAAATGGACAAAAAGGATTAAGTATGAGTATGGGACCTTATCTTTGCATATTTAGGCACAATACCTGAGGGTAATACACTTACAGGAATAAAAGGCTGATTAAAGTTACTTTCTTTATTTTGTTCTGCTTTCAGTCTCAGTTTTCTCCTCATTCTCTTGTGTTTATATAAATCACCATCTCTGGAAAAGACATTTAATTTATCATTAACATTCATGTTTCTACTTTTGATGATCTACACATTTTTCTCTCTAACCTAAGGATTTCCTTTGATAAACTATCATCTATTTGTCAAAATTTAAATGGTTATTGCCAACAGCAGAGGATTACATAATGACCACAAAGTACAAAAGAAAACTACAATGTAATCTTATTATATACAAAGTCAGATAATTAGTTGTCATTGATGTAAAGATCAAAGGCAATCACTGATAACACATTACCTACATGTTTTAAAATCTGTTTTATTTGCTATGTTCCTTGGTAATTATAGAATTTTTCATCACAAGCCATCAGACTATGGTAAAAGGATCTTGATCTTCTAACATCAAAGAATCTTTTTTACAGCTATCAATTGATTAAATGAGTCACTTTTATGTGCCCACTTCTACTTTAATTAATAGAAAAACAAGTCAAAGAGTTTGATAATGTATTAATGAAGAGTCTTCAAGTGTTCTTTGTCTCCTACAGTAATCACACAATTCATTTCATCCAGACACAAAAGAACTAAACTTTCGTCTGCATCAAGTTATCCCCCCCCCAAAAAAAAAAATTAAAAGTAGCAGCAATATCTAAAGGTCATAATTCAAAACAGCAGTGATGCTACATATATAAATACCAATAAATTAAAAAAAGGATTTATAAGAAAACTAATAAAAGGCACTATATAAAATTCATTAACTAAAAGGTCAAACGGATGTAATATTAAAATGCTTCATAAAAAACAATTCTATAAAATGTTTTCACAATTTTACTATAATCTTGTAAAGTACACTGCATAATGTTTACTTCAAGTAAACAATCTTTTCTTTTCAATCCATCAAAAGTAAAAGTATTTTTCAGTATAAATCTGTTGAAGAGGCCACTTTATATGTGTAGCTATATAGGATTATATAATCTTAGACAATGTGGAAATCATTCAGACAAAATGTGTCAATAATCACTAAAATAAACCACTTATTCACACATAGGCCTTTAGCATTCACTTATAGAACAGAAAATGGTTAAAGAATAGAAAAGAGTAGTTGTTTATGTGTGCCTTTTGAATGAAAAAAAAATGAAATTTTCACAGGCAGGCCGCAGAAGCCGGGGAGAAAAAAATAATTTTCTACGACGCTTAAAATGCAGGGGGTAACTTATCAGAACTGCTGAATTACCACGGTCTTTTAGGATGCAGAAACTTTCAACTTTTTTTTTTTATGCTCTTTTTCTTTAATTTCTATTTAACACCACTTGTGTTTGTTTGCTTTTGTTTAATGATCTTTTTTATATTGATATCACTTTGATATCTTACAAATGTTAAAAGTGGGTAATTTGGTATATTTATTAAAAAAATTGGATGTTATACTGTACCAAGTCTGTGATGCAGTGACAACCTAATTAATGATTGATTGACCTATTTAAATGCTCCTTTCAAATGATTTATTGATTGTTTTTGTTACACATCCAGTGTCAAATATTTCAAGTATCACCATATACAACATAGGGAGACCATAGGCAATTAAATATTCTTTGAACTTTTGATATCCTTGTCCAGGAAAGACCTGGAAATCTAGATCCACAGGGACTCCCATATGGTTATTAAATATAAAAGTCCATTTAGATATTAATCCTGCCTCTGAAACTAGACAATCCCTTTGTTTAATCTGGTCATTTGATGATTTTTTACAGTGGTTGAATCAAAGGATTGCTTGTCTATAATGAGATAACACTGGATTTACCCTCTAGTGCTAATATCAATTATCAGATTGTTTAAAGAGCCATCTTCAAAGGACAGCACTGATTGGACACTTTATGTCCTATAGATCAAAGAGTTCAAATGATCCTGATAAAACTTCCATTAAGTGAACATATACTGTAAAATGAATTTTGGGTTGTACATTAGAAAATTAAATGTAAAAAATATTTATGACATCTTTTTACTCTTTTGATCTCCATTTAAAAACAGGTATATATTTAAGTTTCACACAATATTGCTTTTAAAGATTTAAAATAGAAGTAAGTATTTAAATTTTAATAAAACTTTTACAAAACACTCTTTGATCACACAGAAAGATTTTGCAAATTAAAATTTTACAAAAATTAAACCAGTACAAACAAATAGAGATACAAGAGTAACAAAACTTGATTTGATTTTTCCACACTGTCGACCATAAGGATCAAAAGTAGTTATATTTTTGTTTTGTCTGCCTATTTTTGTGTAGTTAAATCCTATATAAGGCTTGGTTTCACCTCTATACTAAGCTTAGTTTTTGAAGTCAATCAACACAAAGGCTGTAGCTCACTGTATAAGGATTGGAAATTATCGTGAATTTCCACCTGAAAGATCAAAGACATGACTTCAATGAGGAATGACCATTACCTATGGTTTAATGGCTGAGCTTTACAGCTAACTACAGAAGATATGTTATAAGAAGTACACATAAAGATTGCTTCTTTGTCAACAGATTTAAAACAATTTTATTAAATGTGAAGTTACCAGAATATTAAGTTTTCCTTTAATTTGTAGTAAAATAAAATGTGAGAATTAAAGAACACATACAGTTTCAAAGAAAAATATTATATCATCAAAAATGACAAGAACGGGCACGAAAAGTGTTCATCAAAAGAAATTTTCAAGTGATTTCTCTGAATCAAGTATGTTAAATCTGTCAAACAAACAGGAAATCAAAGCCACGACAAAGATTATACAGAAGAAAATGTAGCTCATTTCAGTTAAAACTTTAAAATGGGAACAATAAGTTATTAAATCTGGTGTATTTTGTACATAGTAATTTTTTATACAATGTTGACAAGTTGGGGTCAAAGTGAATATAAATAAAGAAAATTACAGGGTGCATAATGTTAACTTCTTTGGATGATATATAAGTCATTTTGTTTTAATAACATATTCAATATTCCGAGTCCAACCTAGAACAGGTGTAAATTTTCTTACAGAAACATTTAATATAAAAATAAGGAGATGTGGTATGATTGTCAATGAGACAACTATCCACCAAAGACTAAAGAACAAGGATGTAAACAATATTAACAGTTTACCTTGAGGCCTTCAACAATGAGCCAAACTCATACTGTATAGTAAGCTATAAAGGGCATGACAACATGTGAAACAAAAAGTATAAAGAATGTGGCTACGTTAAGCATGTTTGTTTATTAATTTGTCACTTAACATCAACATAAAAGTAAAATCTACTTTGACAATACAAAAAACAATGCATTCAACTTTGTTGGTGTCCTCTATGAAATGTACTGTTACTTTGGAAATATACATAGAGCTCTCAATGAATATAAAAATAAGGAGATGTGGTATGATTGCCAATGAGACAACTATCCACCAAAGTTCAAATAAAGTGGATGTTAATTATGTTTTTATGTTCAAAAGTATTTCGTATACCAATTTTTACACTGTATAAAAATTTCATAAAAATTTGTCATGGCAAATTTGAATTGTTGTAGTAAGAGGCAACTGAAAAGTATTCCGATGTTCAAAAGTTAAACGTGAATGGAGAGACAATATAAATGTACTAATGAAATAGCTGTATAAAATATATTTGTTAAAAAGAGGATTTCCCCATACCATAATGAAATATGTCAGCCACACTTACAATATGTATATATCTCCTTCGAACATCACGGTCATCAATTTTTTTTTTCAAATACACTAAAAAGTTTCAAAAGTTTTTAATAGACATGGAATTTCCACTAAATTCAAAAGGGAATAATTTTCTGCATAACAGATACCACACAGGGGTTGTTTGTACTGATAACCAATTTACTGGCTATCAAATGCTTCTGTGCAGATACAACAAACAATGACATGCATAATATTACATATAAAAAGCCAAAAATCAGAACATAGTCCAAGGTCAACAGAAAATCAACAAAAACACATTAAGGCTGGGCAAAGCTTTGATGCAGTCAATGCAAAGGAATGTATCTTGTTCACCTGGTTTTATGCTTAACTTGCTCACTTAAATTTGAATTTCTTTATACAGACTTGTAAAGTAAGGATTTGACATGACATTTTAATCTTTTAATTGGAATAAAAATCATTACTTATGAATTGAAATGATACTCTTGCAACATATGCAACACAACAATCATTATTTTAGCCATTTGTTTTTGGCAGCTGTTTTATCTGGATGTTAAGTACCCTTAACATTAATCAGCCAAAGCATAGATGTATTCATCTGTAGTCAAAGTTTACCTTCCACTGTTTGAGTGGTGATCATGTAACCTTTTCTCTAATTCTTAGTCAATTAATACATGTAGTTCAGCTCTTCTTTAGTTAAAATTGATAATGCCTAATTTCCTAGTAGTTCCCTTTTTTATTCGATTGAATCTCTAAAAAGGAATAAGTACACAAGAATATCCGCCAAAACAGTCTTATTTTAAAGGTTTTTTTGACAAAAATAATAACTATGTTGGTTAATCAATGGTTCAGTATTTTCATTTCAGGTTTCAGATCAAGGACACCAAAGTAATTAAAACAAGGAATTATTTGAATCTGGAATAATTTTGAATTCTGGAAAATTGATTAGAAATGTATGATGAAAACTAACCCAACTAAATAGGGTTAGCCATGCGTGCATGGCTAAGGTTAATTCTACTTTCACTATCATTTCAGTATGAACTAACTAACCCACCTTAGCCATGCGCGCATGGCTAACCCTATTTAGTTGGGTTAGTTTTCATCATATATTTCTCATCAATTTTCCAGAATTCAAAATTATTCCTGATTCAAATAATTCCTTGTTTTAATAGCAAGAGTCAAAAATCCCCTTAGTCCAGTGAGTAAAAAAATGATGAAATACATACACAACAGAATTACATGATGGTAGGTGGAAATCAAAGCAAATGATCACGAAAGGCAAACAAAAAAGAATTCTTTAAAAATTCCAGTTTTCTGGTAAAAATAATATAAAGGTGACATGTGCATTCATTCAAATAAAATATTTTGACAATAGTAACTAAATGATCTGATTCCAGAGTTATTCCCCTTAGTCTTGTAAAGATTTGTGAGATTTCACTACCTCAGTTTTTTTTTCCAATGTTGTAAAAGAAATTTTGTTCTTTTGGTTCAGTCAAGAATCAATCTAATAAAGATCAGGACATTCACTTTGCTCCTTTTTATTGTGAATGTCAGCATGATAGTATGTGGGAAGTATCTTTCTGGACTGAACCTCATCTGCTCAGTTTTGTAAGCATGATGTGTAGCAAAAAATTCTATTTACCTGTTTGAAACTGAAATGTTAGTATTTTGAAGTTCTACAATGAATTTCTGTTGTCCGTGACTATGTTACTACTGTCATTGAACCACAATAATAACAAATATACATGAACACCTAGATATGTACTACAGACAATAATTTTAAGGCATTATCCAACATGGACACAAAACATGAACTAACTTTATAAGGCAATGATGATGATGACTTACATGCTACTATCTGTCTGGGAACGAGTGTCGTCAGTTAATGCATCGCTGGCACTGGAAATGCTCTGGATCTCGCTGTCTTGGAGAGAGGTAGGAGCATAGGATTGGTAGGTATGTGGTATTGAGGGTACCCTTGGAACCGATGGATATGAAAAACTGTAACATAGCAACATAAATAAACAAAATAAAAACATAGAAGCATAAGATAATGCAGGCTACATGCAGCAGGTTTTGTTGTAACTACAAAATGTAATAGCTTGTATTCAAGAACCTATCAAGATAACAGAAGTCACATGCAAATTGATAAAATAAAAAGAACACTTTTTAAAGTGAATATTTCATCTGAACTAATTAACTATTATATAAAAAGTTCCTGCAAACAATACCATATCAATACATATTATCTTTTGTTTCTTCATGTTAACCCATTTATTAAACTGTAATACAGAGCTACAAAACATATTCATCATAATATTGATGACTCCTAAACATGTACTAAGTGCCTTGTTGTAAAAAAATTTCTTCAAAAATGGGTTGGTCAGTCAAAATTTAGAAAATTATGGTATTTGTTTAGTGGAGACTAATTAATTATGAACATATGTATCTAAACTTTGAATTCATTTTTACTGTGCTTTTTATAGCCTAAAATACAAATAGATGAATGCATTCACACTGATGATTAAACCAAGCAAAAAGTCTGGCTAGCAGCTGGTTATGGAAACCACTTCTGAATTTTATTATACACAGAAAAAAAGAAGTTAATTGATGAATAATTAAACCATTTTCTATCTTTTATTGTTTTAGACTGTTATTAACAACAATGCTTAACCTTAACATGTTCTCCAGAAAATGTGTAGCATTCCTCCATCTTTATGTAGGTAGGAGATTGGATGCACATGAGTGATTTTCCTATCTTATGTGGAGAATTTGACCTGAGTCACCTCGGTCATTATACAACTGTGTTAAATGCCCTTTGTTCCTGAGTAATGTGGAATTTTAAGAATAACCTGCCCATCATAAAGTCACTGACTTGGTATAAATTAATGTGAATAAGAATAAAAAGGTCCACAATCTGATCAATTTTAGGATATGTCATTAGCTTTTTCTTAAGTATGAGTCTAATGAATATATCCATTGTCCAAAAACAAGTTCATATATATAGTAGTGAAATGATAGACCTTATGTGAAACAAATTTTCTTTATCCTTTAACCCAAAAAGAGACATGATGAAATTATTTTATTATAAATTTGATGATCAGGTTGATACTTAAACATATGATACAGTTAGGATGTTTGACTAAGCTTTACAATCAAACATGTCAAATTAGTATAACATTAGTAAGAGCATGAAAATTCTGTAACATATGTTGGACCAGTGAAAACTTATAGTATGAACTTATTATGAAGGAACTTAAAAATACCTTCTAAAAAAAAGTTATTTTATTTACCATGATGTACAAACAAAGTTCTGAGGGCTACATGTTTTGAGCCATTTCTATAATCAGTCATTGGGCATGCAAGCAATAAATTCTCCACAAGACCCTTTACAATCACCTGTGTAGGTCATATTGGTTCAATAATAACTGGGTTTGGCTCAACAAAATATTCAGCTAGAACCTACAAAAATGTACATCTTGGATGCAATGCCTCAGTTTTTTCTTTCCAAATTCATTACTGTAGATCTTGTGTAATTAAGTTCATCCAAATGGGACAAAAATTGTTGGTTTAATTACAAATGTATGTAATCCTAAGCTTAACTAATTATGTTTGCCCTAAATATACTAAGTATTTGAAGATGAAAGCATTGACATAACAATGTTACATTTATGACCTACTTCTTTAAATATATCACAACTATGGAGGTAACAGGTTATCATTTTGTTGAAAATTTTGCACTAAAATCTTTCAGAAAAGCAGTTGAGGATTTCTTTGTTGTTTAAAATTCTATAGGTGTCCATGTGTTCAAGTTTCAATGATGCTGACTATCAATTACATTAAATGTTTTTGTTTCTTTTTTTGGACATGTTACTTTGTACATGTGTATGTAAATCACTATGTTACTTTAAACAAGTACATGTATTTGGTAAATCAAGAATTTATTTTCAGAAAGGATTTTTTTTATGAATTGGGATAAAATTACTACACATATGTACATTAAACATCAAACTTTATCCAAATAAAAAAATATGTGCATTTCCTCCTTTAGAAAAAAAGGGCATTAGCACATCTTGTAGGTAGGTAAGAGTTATTTTTTTATTTTGTTTATTTTACCTGGAGTATATAGGACCCACCTGCATATTCGTTAAAAAATATCTACTAAAAGTGCCAATAAAAACTACAGGACATACATTAGGCGGAATAAAAATATGGTAGGTAAAGAAACCATAAGGCCAAAAAAAGAAATAATACATGTGTTTCCGCTAACGTGCTGAAAAAAAATAGGGTAGGTTGGTAGGCAATATCATTCTATTTTACAAACATTTTTTAGCTGGTTACTACTAGGGAATCAGTCTGACATTAACAGTGCTTGTTCAAAAATGGCATAAAAAGTGTTAGGGTAGGCACTAAAAACTAGGGTAGGTAGGGTTAGCAGAAACACATGTATTATTTTTTTTGGCCTAAACACAAGTATTTTTTATTTTAGAATTGGGGTTTCCTCAACTCTTATTTAGAACTAAAGGATTGAGTGCCATCTTGACATTTATTTAAGGATTTCTTCACCAGGGTCTGTAGAGCAACCTTCACCAAAATGTTTAAACTAAATAAGCTAAAGACAAGCACAACATAGTGTACTTACTTAAATGGTTCATTCACAACTCTCTTCACACTGGTTTTAGAAGCACTAGGTGGACCGTCCATATCACAACCCGACACATTATTAAGTTCCTGATCTTCTAAAAGAGTAGGAAGAGGCCCTGATGTTGGACGTACACTATTTGAACCACTAGTACTAGTACTTTTTGGACTTCTTTCACCTTCCTTTTGAATATATTGAACGAAAAGATCACTTTTAAGGAATAATGGATATGTATTTTTACGCATATGCTCCTCTACCTCGTTCTGGGCCTGGTCAAATATCCCCTGACCTGCTGCAAAAGTTCTTTTTTGAAGTTTTTCATGAATATAATGCCTAGTCAGTTCTGAGATGCATGGTAATTTATCAGTTTTTATATACTTTTTATGAATAGCTCGGATTATGCTTTGTATATTAGCTACATCATCTGGGGGCTTTCTCTTTAATCCTTCACATGCAAAATAAAAATCCACAGAATAACATTTAAAATCCTCATTTTCTAAAAACTGTTTGAATAAATGGACACCATCTCTGTCTTCTAACAGATAACTCAAGTTCTCAGCCCATTTCATATATGGTGGTGTACTATTCTCAGTAAAAGGAGGAGAGTTGGACACACTCCCTTCTGGTTCAAAACCCAAGGGAGCTGTCATATCCTCGTCGTCTACACAACAACTTTGGTTAGATATGAGAGACTTATCTTTCATAGACCGTCTCGGTGTAGCAGCAGGCGAATGTGTAGTTATATCACGATTTGATCCACCACTCTTACACGACTTGTTACTTTTATGAGATTCGCTACTTTTTGTTGATAATCCGCCGTTTGACTGAATCTCATTTTCTTCACCTGGCACGGGTGGCCGTGGAGCAGTTTCTGTAAAATTGCTACCTCCACTCTCTGAGAGAAATTGGCACACCCTGCTAGATGTCATGTTGCTTGATATAACCCAGCTTTGGGTTTCTGTCAGCTCATCTGAAAATAAAATGCTACTTTTAAAAACTGTTAATTTCAAAAATTTCAAGGAACAGGAATCTATAGCTACACTGAAGTTTAAAGAAATGATTACTTGCATGACTGATGTCAAGAATACATATTAAACTCACAAAGTACAACTATTCCCCTTCTGGATATTTTGCTGCAAAATTACTTAACCTAATTATGTATAAATATATGAACCAAGTAATTTCAATGTAGAAATGAATGTTCTATGGGTTCATATTGTCATTGAAGATATTCTCATGTTGAAAGTTGAGTGAATTTATGAATGAATGATTTTGTTGGTGTTTGTTGCCTGTCGAGACCAATTGAAGGTGTACATAATGAATTACAAACAAGGAATTATTTGAATCTGGAATAATTTTGAATTCTGGAAAATTGATTAGAAATGTATGATGAAAACTAACCCAACTAAATAGGGTTGTTAATTTTACTTTCACTATCATTTCAGTATTAACTAACTAACCCACCTTAGCCATGCGCGCATGGCTAACCCTATTTAGTTGGGTTAGTTTTCATCATATATTTCTCATCAATTTTCCAGAATTCAAAATTATTCCAGATTCAAATAATTCCTTGTTTACAGTGATGATACTGCAAAAAGCATGGAGTACTTTTTCTTACATGTAGCATGCAAAATTTTTAGTCTTTCCTGCTTTTATAATCAAAAATCAATTATGGACAACTTAAGAATCTCAATCAATGAAGTGTTACATGGGTCAGAAGAAATGTTGAATGCACTGACATGTATAAAATGCTTCAGTGTTTAGATGTTTGTCAGTGTCTGTGAACTGTGAAGAATTTTTCTAGTAGCACAAATCAACAATTCTCTTCTACACAATTGGCAACAATTTCTATTATCCATTCAAGATTTATCTTTTGATCATATACTGCAGAACATTTAAAATGCTTTTTTTCTATGATGCTGCCAGTCTCTTAAACATTACTTCAGAACATTTATGTGCTCTCTTTCTATGATGGTACCATGTCTCTTAATCATTTAAGCAGAAAATCTGGTGTATTTTTTCTCGCCTGGTTTTCATACAAGCAAATACCCATCACCTGTTCAGTCTGCACCAAAATCTTTTCCAACTACTTGTCTGAAGACAAATATTCTGACATTTTTCTGTGTCTAAACAAAGTTTTGCAAATACTTAGTAGTCCGAATAATAGTCAGGGGCATTGTACTAGTGGATATTGGTACAGACTGTCCATTGCGCTATTCAGGACACCATTAATATATTATGGGCTCAAAACCAAAACGATAATATACATTCAAACTGGGTAAAATAGTATATTTATAATTAAATGCTTTCTAATCTATTTGTCAACAATAGAGAAACCAGCCTGTAGGTAAATAAATTCATATTTGAAACATTTTGAAGATCAATGGGAAAGATTCTTTTTACAGAATAAATAAATATTGTAAGTTGTAATAGTGTTACAGGAAAGGCAATTATGCTGTATAATGTCAAGGGTGTCCAACTCTAGTTAACATTAGTGCTGAACAACACAATCGGAGAAACACAACAAAATTCTAAATATGAAAATGCAGTTCTAATGGTATGTAAGGATTCATAATGTACCAATGTCAATATATCAATCAATTTAGTGCTGCAGGACAATTTAAAGCTGATGTATAAACTCAAAACATACATTTCGGCTGATAAATGGGTTAGAAGTTAATTTCAACCGTCCTGATATTAGAAGCAAGATACAATCCTAACATTAAAGACAAGAGGCGGCCATTATGATAAGTCTTGGGGTACTTAAAAGGGGACGTAATTTATGTGTTTAATTATACATCTGGTATCTAAAACGACATGTATCGATTGTAAAAGTGCACATTTACATGTCTTATGTCTAAACAGAAATGACTGAAACAAAATGAAGACTTACTTTCATCAACTAACGACATCAGAACATAGTATTATTGGGAAACAATGGCTAAATTGCATTGCTATTCTGAAGCGTTCGCGCACCTGTCGAAAACGGTCACTGAAACACCAGATATACAAAACACCACAATTAAATCCCAAATGAAATTGCAGGCAGCAATTGATGTGTTTAGGAAGAGTGTTTAATCCTCAAATAAAATAATTCCACTAAAAACACAACTGAGTTATCTCCTCATAACATCCCACGAAACAAAATGGCCCCTTTCAAAAGCTGTGTTTATACGACATGGTGATATGAAATATAGCAGATGGTGTACACTTCGAAACATACCTTAATAAAATGTTTCAATTCGTGTGCATGTCGGTCAAATCAGATGCTACAATATTAATTTGAAAAGTTTGAATCTTCAAACATCAAAAGCCACATGCCCCGCCGCCGACAATCCTAATACAAAGTGACGTCACAGTTCTTTTGAAGAACCGCACCAATCACAGACGAGATAAAATCAACATTCACAAAAATGTTGTGGATTAGTCCAACACGTGGGTAAATCAATGTTAATGCGATTAACATTATAATTAAATCATAATAAACTATTGTGTTCTGTTGGATTTTTTTTTATGTATACATCAGTATTTTTGCGCCCGATATCTAAAATAAGTTAATTTTATTTATATAAGCATCATAAAAAAAGTCACGATTAATTATGAAACCCCTCAATTATATACAAATGGGAAAAGCTTCCGATAGCAACAAAAGTTAGGAGAGAATGGACTCTTAGAAGTAAATTCGTGCTGTGCTGAAGCTGTTCGGGATACCTTCGATAAAATGATGAAAGTTTACAATGGAATAACATATTGCTTAGAAATATTACATAATCTTTTTGTAAATACAAGACACCAAAATTACACGCGGGGTATAATATTAGTCTTTCATCTTCTTCAGATAATTTACATTTGCCCCTATAAATTACATCGGCGTGCCTTAGGCGATATGTGATGGTCAATGTATTACACTAGTGTTATAAATCTATAATTTTGTACGTGAAAAAGTTGGTACGAAGAGAGGTAACGGTGAAATATGGATATTATTAAAAAAAAATATAGTCATGGTTTTTTTCCCCTGTTAATTTTTAACTTGTTGACAGTATCGTTTAGAACAAGAAGGTTTTGAAAGAAAGAAATTATGAAGAAATTGTTACTCCAATCAGTACGATTCACGAAACATAATTACACGAACGAATTAATTATTTTAATTGTTACGTATGTTCAGGTAAACATCAAAGGAACCGATCGCCTTTGTTCTCTTTGTGGGATAATTACGGATTCGTCGATATCACCTATCTTGTTAGGATCAATTCACTTGTTTTCCTACAGAGAAGTAGTAACTTAATATTTTTAATTCGTTTTATCCCAAACACACTTTTTATAACTTTAAAGTAGATTTATCAAGCGGCGCTTAAAGGAAATTCAAAGAAATTAGAGTAATAACGCCGGTGATACACACAGGTAGACTTTATTGACTCTTTGTAGTTGGAGATCAAAGAGAAATTTGTCATTATGTCATGCTTGTTTAAACTCGGCTAGGTCGTAATGGGTTACCTTAAAAGTTTATATTATTCATTGATGTTTGTAAAGGAAAAATTATTCTGTGCTCTTTAAAGAAACAGGGGGAATTATTATGTTAACCAAATGTTGTTTCTCACTCCCAAATTGTAATTAGAAAGTTATTGCAAAAAGGAAATATAATGTTGAAAAATAAAGTTTATTGTCAGTGAAATTTCGGCATAGTTTATCGAAATGGAAAGTAACTAGAAATGACATGTCAGCAAGGACACCGCTTTCGCATTTTTGTGTGGGGTACAAGAACAAATAACACTGATGCACACAAATTGAGACACACAAATCAATTCATTTCATTGTGCATCGATGTTTGTGAATTTTGATACCAGGAATTAATTCGAGATGTGTTCTCGATGAATAGGAAATTTTGTTGAAATCCATATTTAGGCGCCGTTTTTTCGTAAATGGTGGAAAACCAAAATTTTTTACACATGGAATCAAGTAGCAATATGTAGAATTATACCTCCATACTGAAACTATTATAACACATGTGTTATAGTAGTCTCAGCTTTATATTGATAAAATTTCTAACAAAAATTAAGTTTTCACTACAACTTTGACGTCCGGAATCAATTTGGAATGATTATTATACTAAAATATTTATTTTCGTTGAAACCTGGCATTAAAAGATAATAATTAAAAAAATTGTAATTTTTTGTTTAACAAACGTAAGTTTTGATCCCATATTTGACAGCTAGATTCAACCTGAATAGCATAATGTACCTTTGTATCAATTCTCGTTGAAACTTTGCATAAAAAGATGGACTGCAAAATAAAACTTACTTTTTGTTAAACAATTTCAAATTTTGAAGTCCATCTTTTTATGCAAGGTTTCAACGAGAATTGTTACAAAAATATAGAATTTTGGCACCTGCAATCAATTTGGGTATATGTTTGAAGCTTGTTATACCTTATTATAAATTTTCACTGAAACTCGTCACAAAAGATGTTTCTCGAAATTTGTGAACTTTTAGAAAAAAATCAAGATTTTAAGGTCAACCCACCCCTGGAAAAAATAATCTAGATTTTAAGGCCAATCTCTCCCCCTCCCTCCGATTATCAAAAAAATCAAGTGTATCAATTTTAACCAATATATATATATATGTGTATACGTGAATTCTTATTAACTAAAACCACATTTTTTACCACATTTTTTCTCTCCAAATTTTCACAATAAACTACAACTATGGGGATGTTGAACGACCTTGACTACACACGAGGGTCTTGCACGGTCGGACATTCACAATAAACTAAATATTTATATATAGGAATCTGTCATGAAATAGAAGTTCCTTCATAATATAAGTTCCAAGTGGAAGAAATATTCTGTAATATTATTTTATCTGGAACAAATATTACAGTATTTGTTCCTAACAGAATAAAGAATATAGGATATCTGTTCCTGTGATGGCATTGCTTATAACAAAGTTTTCCGAGGAACTTCTTATAGGCGGAACAAATATATGCTCACAACATCACAATCTATATTTCATTTAAATTCTAGCACATTATCATGTTTTTCATTTGTGATTTTTTTAACAAAAACTAAGTTTTTACCACAATTTTGTCCAAATTTGAGGCTTTCTCACCTGATCGTGATGAAGTCCAGTAACAGACGGACAGCCAGATAGAGTGATTATTACAGAGGAAGGTCAGTAACAGACGGAAAGACGGACAGAGTGATTATTACCGAGGAAGGCCAGTAACAGACGGACAGACAGACAGAGTGATTATTACAGAGGAAGGTCAGTAACAGACGAACAGATAGACAGAGTGATTATTACCGAAAAAGGCCAGTAACAGACGGACAGACAGAGTGATTATTACAGAGGAAGGTCAGTAACAGACAAAAAGACAGACAGAGTGATTATTACAGAGAAAGGTCAGTAACACACGGTCAGACAGACAGAGTGATTATTACCGGGGAAGGCCAGTAACAGACGGACAGACAGACAGAGTGATTATTACAGAGGAAGGCCAGTAACAGACGGACAGACAGACAGAGTAATTATTACCGAGGAAGGCCAGTAACAGACGGACAGACAGACAGAGTGATTATTACCGAGGAAGGCCAGTTACAGACGGACAGACAGACAGAGTGATTATTACAGAGGAAGGTCAGTAACAGACGGCCAGACAGACAGGGTGATTATTACAGAGGAAGGTCAGTAACAGACAGAAAGACAGAGTGATTATTACAGAGGAAGGCCAGTAATAACAGACGGACAGACAGACAGAGTGATTATTACAGAGGAAGGTCAGTAACAGACGGTTAGACAGACAGTGATTATTACCGAGGAAAGCCAGTAACAGACGGACAGACAGACAGAGTGATTATTACAGAGGAAGGCCAGTAACAGACGGACAGACAGACAGAGTGATTATTACCGAGGAAGGCCAGTAACAGACGGGCAGACAGACAGAGTGATTATTACCGAGGAAGGCCAGTCACAGGCGGACAGACAGACAGAGTGATTATTACAGAGGAAGGTCAGTTACAGACGGTCAGACAGACAGAGTGATTATAACAGAGGAAGGTCAGTAACAGACAGAAAGACAGAGTGATTATTACAGAGGAAGGCCAGTAATAACAGACGGACAGACAGACAGAGTGATTATTACCGAGGAAGGTCAGTAACAGACGGAACAGACAGACAGAGTGATTATTACCGAGGAAGGCCAGTCACAGGCGGACAGACAGACAGAGTGATTATTACAGAGGAAAGTCAGTAACAGACGGACAGACAGACAGAGTGATTATTACAGAGGAAGGCCAGTAGCAGACAGAAAGACAGACAGAGTGATTATTACAGAGGAAAGTCAGTAACAGACGGACAGACAGACAGAGTGATTGTTACAGAGGAAGGCCAGTAACAGACGGACAGACAGACAGAGTGATTATTACCGTGGAAGGCCAGTAACAGACGGACAGACAGACAGAGTGATTATTACAGAGGAAGGCCAGTAACAGACGGACAGACAGACAGAGTGATTATTACAGAGGAAGGTCAGTAACAGACGGCCAGACAGACAGGGTGATTATTACAGAGGAAGGCCAGTAACAGACAGAAAGACAGAGTGATTATTACAGAGGTAGGCCAGTAATAACAGACGGACAAACAGACAGAGTGATTATTACAGAGAAAGGCCAGTAACAGACGGACAGACAGACAGAGTGATTATTACCGAGGAATGCCAGTAACAGACAAAAAGACAGACAGAGTGATTATTACAGAGGAAGGCCAGTAACAGACGGACAGACAGACAGAGTGATTATTACCGAGGAAGGCCAGTAACAGACGGAATGACGGACAAAGTGATTATTTCAGAGGAATGCCAGTAACAGACGGACAGACAGACAGACAGAGTGATTTTTACCGAGGAAGGCCAGTGAAAGGCGGACAGACAGACAGAGTGGTTATTACAGAGGAAAGTCAGTAACAGACGGACAGACAGACAGAGTGATTATTACAGAGGAAGGCCAGTTAAAGACGGAAAGACGAACAGTGATTTTTACCAAGGAAGGCCATAAACAGACGGACAGACAGACACAGTGATTTTTACAGAGTGACACAGATTAGCGGCGGGCCCTAATTAATTAAAAGTGTTGCAATATATTAATAACTTTCAAATTTCGGCAAGATTTCCTTTTGAACCCCCTTCGTGTATGTCTTTAAGTTTATTCCATCAACAAAGGGGATTCAAAAGGAAGTCTTTCTCAAATTTCTTCACGACGTTAACTGACAAAACGGTACATGAGAACATAACATAGCTGTTCCATAGAAACAGATCATCCGTTTATCCAGCTGTTCCATAGATACAGATCATCCGTTT